ATTATGAGGGTGAAATTCCCAAAATTTCAGTAAAAGGTGAAACTCCTAATAAATTTAGTGGTGAAATTCCATTTTGCTCTTCAACAATAAAAAGAAAAAGGGGTAGACCACCAAAGCTTGTATTGGATGTTAATGATGGAATTAATTATGATTAAAAAAAAGAAAACTCTTTGTCTTTAAGAGTAAACAATTCATGTGATGAAACGGAAACAGATGATTCAGACTCTAGATCTGAACATTCCGAAATTGAAGAATTCGAAAAAAATAAATCTCCTATTATTATTTCCAAAGAATTAATTATTTATCGTAAAGATAATATTCTATATTTCCTCTCAGACGATGGTGAACCTGTTGATGAAGGTGCTAAAGAATTTAAAAAATTAAATAAATTACCCACCATTAAAACCACACGTTTAGGTGGGATTTATGAACAAAAAATTGGTAAAAATTGCCATTTTGCCGCTATTATTCAAGGATCTAGTGGGAAATCTGATCTCACAGTAAAAAAATATTTTTGCGAAAGTTTAAACAATCTGAAAGAACTTTTGAAGAAAGATAAAATTGAAACTATTTCAGTTGCATATTCTAAATATGTAAATAATATTCCATGGTCTGAAATTCTTATTTCAATTGAGGAAACATTCATAAATGAAAATATCAAAGTTATTATTTGTCTTGGCACGGTAAAATATGTACCTGTTGAAAAACGAAATGCAATTTTTTATGAGATGCACTCTTCACCTATTGGAGGTCATAAGGGGTATCAAAAACATTTAATCGTATTAAAAATAGTTATTATTGGGAAAATTTGAAGAAAGATGTTCAAAATCGTATTCAACAATGCGCGGAGTGTCAATTGAAAAAATTAGTCCGCGTTAAAACTAAACAACCGATGTTAATTACAGATACACCTGGCACGGTTTTCGATGAAATTGCGATGGATATTGTAGGTCCCTTGCCCAAAACAGTAAATAATAATGAGTATATTTTAACTATTCAAGATCAATTGTCTAAATATTCAATGGCAATTCCATTGGAGAATCAAAGAGCGGAGACAATAGCGGATGCTTTCATTAAACGTTTCATTTGCGTCTTCGGCTCTCCGAAAGTTTGTTTAACTGATCAAGGTCGAAATTTTATAAGCGCCATGATGCGAAGAATTAATAAGCGATTTCGAATAAAAAAATTACAAACTACTGCATTCCATCCACAATCGAATGGATCGTTG